TTTTTGATGATTAAAATAAATCAAAGAATATTCTTCCAAATTCTTAGCAAAACCTACAAATAGACAGCTTTTTATGCAAGAAAACCCACAAATAAGCGACTTTGACTGTAATAAAAATTTCCTTTAAAATGGGAAATTTGAATAATGAAACATACAATCCAATTATGATGTGTGGAAACAAAAGTGATTTGAAATATAAAATATTAGTTCCAATTGATGAAGTTGATAGAGTGGCAAATTCTTAAACATTCACCATTTTATAACATCAGCAAAGTCGAATACAAATATGAAAATATATATTAATTTCTTAATCGGATAAAACTCAAGAAACATCAACAACACATGTCGAAACGTATTGACGTTTTTTTCCATGCAAATAATTGTGACGTATTTGAAGAAATTTAACGACATTATAAACATCATTTTAGTGTGCAAAAAGTATGAAAATGTATTTGACTGCATTCAAATGAATCCAATACAAATCACTTCAAAAACAAAGAACCTTTTCAAGTACAATCAAACTCAACAAACGTTCTCTCCCTTTGATATGCAACTGAACACTCAAAAATCGCTATTTAATTATCCAGAACGCAATTAAGAGTGTTTGATGGAAATTAATAATGTAATGTCTGTCCATTTTCTGTTTATACAAAAGAAGATAAAAATTATTTAAACACTAAAATATCAGACTTGTGAGGGAAATTAGAGACAATGTATTTGAAATGTGTAAGAAAACTTCAATAGAATTTCCAATTATCGAAATTGTTAAAAACGCATTTTCTAAGTGCTTAAACATCACAGAAATTGCACTACCACCACATCTTACACACTTTGGAAATGGCGCGTTTAATGATTGTATAGATTTAAAAAAATATTTTTCCCGGATTTGCTTGAGTATATTCCACAGTCGTGTTTCAATGGGTGTTCTCTTTCTGATGTAAACTTTGGAACAAACGCCACTTTAATTGGAAACAATACTTTTCGTAAATGCACTTTTAAAAACTTTTCAATTGCCAGAAACGTATTTATCAAAAAATCAAGTTTTATTTGCAACGCACTTTCAAAAATCACGTTTTGTGGCAAAAAGTGCATTCTATGTGGTACTTGTTGTAATTGTTTACAACTATAATACAATGTAATGGACGACAATGTTAAAATAATCGCAAATTCTACGTTTTTGGATTGTACGTTACTTGAGAAAATCACACTGTCTTCAAATTTAGAAGTTATTGGACCTAACGCATTTTCTGGGTGTAAAAAACTCGGCAAATTTGAAATTCTACACAAAGGTTAAAGTTTTACATTTGAAAATTGTGAACAATTGAAAGAACTCGTTTTTGGTAAAAAAATGTTGTG